TTTTGAAATTCTCGATAAATTAAAAAAAACAACACTTCAATTGACTTCAATCACTAATTTTCAGTATAAATACTCTTATTTAGCACTTATTTGTCCTGATTTCTTTGTAAAAGAGTAAAAAAAGACCCATAGTTACCGACTTCTTTGGCTTGACAACTGATCGCTAGACCGTAAAATATCCTAGATTTGCATATTCGCGCTAAACTCATGACAGTTGGTTTGTCGGTTTGTTTTGATTCGAAGCTGTGCTGCAAGAAGTCGAGAAATGCGTTGATTYGYGGTTTTTTCAGCCTTTTTGCCTTTAGTCACTACTCTACGGACATCATTAAGTTTGTAGGTAGCRAAGGAGCTTACTTGCTGAAAGAATCCAGCTTCGTGTGTGACTTTTTAAGCGATTTTGATTCCGYGGTTGATTCGATTAACTTGACAGTCGCTTGAAGAGAATCRCTTAAAAGACCGTCTAAAGGCAAATCCTTGGGGCTGCCACAGTAATTTTGGGATGTTTTGGCYATTGAGGAACACAAATGACTTGAAATTTGGGCAGAGTTCTGAGAAGGCTGTAGACTTAAAATAAATTTCTATTTCAGATTGGACGGGACGGTTGCTYGCGCAGTGTGTAGTTTTCTCCCAGAAATCATTGTGCTCAAAAATCTGGTTAAAACACATGTTCTGAATCAGTGTCCAAAGAGAAAGCCGTAGCATGAGATGTTTATGGAAAATTTGGAAAATAAAACGCTTAAATGACAGAAGTAGGACTAAAATTGGGTGCAAACAGTAATTAGCTTGTTAAAATCTAGAATTGTGTAGGAAAAATCACAAGAAAAAAACGGTATTTTCACTGTAATAAATTAGCTTCGAAACTGCATGGTTTCGTTCTGGTGACTTCATCTTTCCCTTTAATTTCAAATTAAGTATTTTATGCATGTTATCGACATCATTTTGCGCACAGTGTAGACGATCAGCAGTGCAGACTTTGAGAGGGGGGGTGTTTCTTTAGAAACATGGACAAAAACACTTAAAACTAGCCAAAAAACTAACCCTAAAGCTAACCCTAAAACCTAACCCTTACATTGTATTCTAACCCTAAGCCTAACCCCAAACCGGAACCCTAATCGTTGCCCTAGGTTACAGAAACCCCAAGCATTKCCRAAGASTAKCCCTAAGCCTAACCTCAGCTACGGGGAGGGGAGGGGAGGGTGCAGTCCGTAATTTTAATAAGCCRKKKTTTTTTTCCTTTTTCGGAGGAAATAACGATAAAGAAGTAGCAAACATGATAATTTACACCACAAATACTCGATTGAAGTGATTTTTTTTCAATTTATCGGAAATTTCAAAAATACCCTAAAAAGTCACTTTGGCCRTTTTCGCTGCCGGCCCTTCAATTGTGATGATTTTTATTGTTCATTGAATAAAATGGTCTTTCTGTTGGTAAATAGCCTGCATAGCAGCTCTTGATAAATATGACATTAGAGTGCAAACCCTAAAACCATGATTAGTTAATTTAAGGTTGCCAACCTTCTCCCACCGCTTTGTGAAAGAAAAATTGTATCTTTGCCTCATTAAGTAAAAGCTTACTAACATGTTATACATAATTTTCAAGCTAATTGATTTTGATGATGGGTGTCATTTATCATATTTTTTTCCAAAACCCTAATTTACTTCAATAGACCAATCCCACATTTGCTAGGATGAACACGTAACAATGGTTTCATTGTTTTTTGTTCATCTGAGCGAATGCCAGATTGGTCTATTGCCAAGTGTTTCTTTGCTGTTTTTTTTTGTCTGCTTTTTCTCTCTGAAAAACACTGCATGTACTATTTCTAGGAGAATTTCAAAAGGCCTTACACTTTGTCAAGACAGTTCATCCAACAATGCACACAATTGAAGATGTTCGCCTTCAGCTTTCAGTATTATTGGCTAACGGGTAAGTAGTTTTTGCATTTTCACTAACCATTAATATGATATTGATGCATGTTTTCTTTCAGTTTGGTGACAGAGGCTTTTAATTTCCAGGTATGATTTGTTGAGTACAGTAACATCTGCAAACAATACAGTACTAGCATTCCACCAGAAATTTTTATCCAACTTCATATCCTTCATGTTTTCTCTGCAGCGTCAACACAGGAATCCCAGTATCAATGCAGATCTCTTGATGCATTTTTTTAGTGGATGCCAACAAAGTAGGTGATTGTTTGTGATGATTGCGTCACCAATGAKAATGATTATTTTGAAAGATTATAATGATTAATTAACAGGTAGAGACTGATAAATGGATACAAGAATACATATATTAACTGGTTTTAAAAATTAGAACTTTACAAAACGTATCCCATCTTTTGGGAGTAACTGAGATTGCCACTACCATCGTGATACCCATTGATGGACCCCCATTGATCATGTTCCACAGTAGGAYTGAGTCTTCTGAGCTACAAATAGCAGATCTGTCTATAGGGATCACAAGCATTTTAAAAAACATGTAGTTTTTTTCTGAAAAATATAATTACAGTTTTTGTATTTGTCAAATCCTAATTATCTTTGTTTGAAGTTTTATTTCAACCACCCAGTACTCATTCGTAGTGAAAAAGACAAACTAACAGTCAAATCATCACCTYGAATCATAAACAAACTACGCTTACTACGAGTGACCTCTGTTTGCTACAAACACATTCAAGACAAAATACTTTAGATTAGAACTATTTGACATACTTTTTTTGTTTTAAGTTAAAGGTTATGGAAAAAAATAACTTTGTTTCAAGTTTTTTTGTCAGGTATACTCAAATTCAACCACTCACTACTCGTTCGTAATAAAAAAGAAATTTCACTGAAATTTGTTCATATAGGCCTGAAAAACTAAAAGTCAACGATAGTTTAATTGTTAACTGTGTTTAAGCGTAGCAACATAACATGACTGCACATATATCAATGACTATGTGGGAGCGAAATCATGGGCGAGATCACTTGGGGCGAGATCACTTGGGGGTGAGATCACCGGATACCGACAATTAGGATAATTGCAGCTTGAGACTTGAGCTGTTTATTTTCAGTTTTAGTCTGTACATACATGTATAATATTTATCATTCAAAACTGTCCTTTTTATTACGTTTGTTGTTCAGATCTTTCCTGGTTCTAGAGGCTTTGCTTGTATTCTTTTACTTTTTGTCTTCCAGTCTTGAAGTGGCAAGACATTTCCATTCATTTTTTTAAGCAGATGYCTCTGTTGTCAATCATAGACAATCTCACTTTCATGTCAAATGACTGAACCAATCAAATAGCAGAGAGGAATATGTCMTTTTATCTGTGATGACCTATGATTGGTTAGTTTTATTTGGCATATGCTTGACAGGACTTAATAAAAGTGAGATTGATTATGCTTGAAACCACAAGCTTTGAYTCACATTAAGTTGATTGATTGATTGAAAAACCTTTGTTACTACTCCATGGCTTAAAAACAAAAATAATCATTCCAAGGGATCAACTTTCTTAAAATGACATACCGGTAATTATAATTATTTATAACACGATAACAAGTTATTTTTTCTCAATCTTTAGATGGTAACATAAGCAAAGTCATGCAGCTTCCTATGAATAGTATTGAAGAGGTGAGGAGTGTTTAATGTAGTTTTGAGGGATTAGTGTCTTTTACACCAKTGCCTGTTKAGTTGAGACTTTTTTAGCACCAATAAAGAGTAGTTACAAAAATCTTTGAAGTCATGAGCAAGAAACTAATAAACCAAAGCGAAATAAAACCAATGTTTCTTACAAGCCAATTGTGAATGAACTGCATAAATACAGACCTAAAATTAAGTAATCTTTGAACTGGCTAGGACCATTTTGTGGACTTCCTTCAACATGGTAGATTTGAAGCATCCTTGGAGCTTCTAGTGATGTACTATCTACAGCATGGAAGATATGTTGAAGGCATCAGACTGAATGAAAACATCAAACAAGATACAATGGTATGCTAGTACTCTATTGATAATGAAATAAGACATTCATATCACAATACATTCACACTATAATCATTTGCTTGAAATGCACACTCAGCTATTGTAAAGTAATGAATCAATATCTAGAATAGAGTAATGGTGCACAGACCATTGAAAGAAAAACAAAAAAATTGTATTTTTAATAGTCTCTTTGACAATTCGTTGAACTGTCTTAAAATGTAACCCTGCCTTTGCATCGAACTGAGACATCAGTTGAGCTGGTAATGATAGATGCCTTAGAAGAATATGTCTGTCATTGCTATCATTGCACAATCAACCATGGTTGGGCTTCTGCACAAAGGACATGTACCTTGCATGATGGTGCAGGGAAGTCTGAAGGACAAAATAAGTGATAGGTCTCAAAATTCCTTAACATGATATTTGTACAGACCTCATTAAGTTCAATATTGAGAGAAAAATTGTATTTTAATATTATTTATTTCATACTTGATTCAGTTTTCTTTGTTATTCAAAGTGTTGTATCTCGCTTATTCCACAGCTCATTGTGTATTCAAGTGCTTTATATCGAAGTTTGAGGGCAATATCTATATATTGCCCTTGAATACTATACACTTAATGACTGTTCCCAAGGGAAACRGTTAGTTTTGTTTCCCGAGAATCTCAATGTTTCCCGAGGTACGCYGTTATATTGGTAAATTATGTGAATAAAAAAAATCAAAACACATTGCMAGATGATTCTCAATAATCATGAATAATACTTTATTGTAAATATAAAAAATAGCAAGATGTTAAGYGTTTAAATTACATTGTGCTTGAAAATAAARCTAATATAAATATACAAATGCCAAAAAACTAGCAAAACTTTATGAATGAAACAGTCAATGAGTTCCTGAATAGAAATTTAATGTGACATTTGTCCAAATTCACCGTTTCTCTCTTGGTTTGTCTGCAGAATTCTATCATCGTAGTCGTAGCCACAGCAGTCTTTGTAGCTTTGTTAGTGTTTTCCGAGTCTTTGTTGACAACCATTTTGTCTATTTCTTGACTAAGATTTGAAAATCTTTTTGATGCCAGCTCCATTTTGTAAACAGTCGAAAGCAGCAAAAAACAATTCCCCTCTTTACAAACTGTTACTCGACGCGAGGCGGCCTTTTCCCGCCAATGGCTAAGCGGTCAACAATCACCAAACTGTTGACCGAACAGTCAACAGTTGATTTTAGCTCCGGACACGTGACACCGAATCGTCCAATAAGAGAGCGAGAAAACAGTKAAAATAATTWACCAATATAACTATAATGTATATTGCCCTTGAATACCTAATTACCTACTAAGTTCAACTTAGAAATTTTCCGTCTGAAACTTGAAAGAAAGAAAGAAAAATTCAARTGACACCAAGTAGATTCGAACCCACAACCTTAGCTTTGAAAATCCTATACTTAACGCGTTATGCTAGCTAACTTTATGGAATAAAACAGTTATTTAACATTGTCCAGTTACTTGTTACAAAAGGTATATTGTTAGCATTGGTCTCATGGGACTAACGAGAAAATTGGTTATGCAAATTATTCCCGTTGGGAATTGTCAATACTGTAAATTTCGTAATCTTTCTAATCGAGGTTTTGGTTTTTAATTCATATGAAAACGGCTTCTTTGCCTATTTAAAAAATGAAAATATTAATGCAGTGCTTGGAAAACTTCTTCAAGTATAAAATAAGCCAGTTACATACCTCGAATGTCGGCAATCAGCCTATACATGTATAGGCTGATTGCCTCCGTTCTCGGTACTATGTAACTCTTACTTGTACATGAACAGTTATTTAGTACTTCTGCAGAGTGTTCTCAGATATTTTTGTGTGTTTTGCCATTTGATTTTAGTATAACAGTATAGCATGTATTTACTTTACAGAATGAGCAGAATCCCAAAGTGTTAGAAAGGAGCAAAATTCGCAATGCAATAGTTGATGGTTACATCAAGTGTCTTCCCAGCATTCAAAGGAAGCTTATTTTTCTGCCTGAAGCATGTCATTCTCAGCCAACTGTCAAAGAAGGCAAGAACAAATCAGTTTGCAGGGTATTTTAATAATTGCAAGTTAATAACTGTTTCACACTGTGTATCTTTTCAGTGCCATGCCCTAAGCCTCTATCTACAGTCCTTCATCATGTCAAACATGGACGTCCAATCAGTCATGCTAGTTTACTAAACTCTGTTATGGATAAAGTGGCAGAGGCCAGGTAAACCATTTATGCTTCTTATACCTACAAATATCATATCCTTTAGAGTCTTAATTTTTTTATTAGTTACCATATGATAGTTTAAAGTTGCTTACATACAATTAATACTTTATTGTAGGTACTGTGATACTTAATTCAGTTCTTGTTCTACTCCACAAACCACTGGAAACATAGCTTTAGCATTCACGGTTAACTTACTTAATTCATTGTAACTTGGACTTTATCATAAGCCTTTCAGTAGTGTAGTCTCAGACCATTATTAAGCTATTGGTGATTCTTTTTCTCTGTATTTTCATTTTTTGTATGAATATAGTGAAATCAAATATTCTGAAGTATAGATTAATGCATAGCAATTTCATGTTTCAATCTTTCAAATTGTTATTTTTAGGCCCCAAACCACACCACAAAAGAGAAGATCAGGACCATTTGTAGGGACTCCATTAACACCTGCCACTAAAGGATTGTTAAAGTTAGTCTTKTTTCACTTGTATGATAAATGCAACCCACAGTCAAATAATTATGAAATAATTATTGATAAAATACAAATATATAGCTTACAATTTATTTATTATTTCCATTGCTCACAAATAYACACATTGTATTGAAAGAGATTGTAGTGATTTGAATAATGTGCAAAATCAATAGACTAAAGTTAAAGCAAGAACATTAAAATAGAAATCCCAAAACAAACCCTACTTACAATGTAATCACTAATACAAAATAAATRCAAAACCAGGACMAATGTAAACAAWGACAAGGGAAAGCTGTGCAAGTCAAACCACATGTTCATTGTGCTAATTGATCCATCATTTTTATGATTCATCCCAGCCAGTATTGATGGTCATTGATTGGTGACTAATTTATCTTTCAGTGATTCACATAGAATGGTTTTTGCTAATGTGAAGAAACCTGAATTACTGGTTAGTACTATTACTTTCATTGTAAATTATTTTAAGGGATAGATCGTTCATAAATGTACTTGATGAGTGGCATTATTGAAGGAAATTGAAGCCTTTTACAGGGATTGGGAATCTGCAAAAGGCAGGAGGTACTGGGGGGTTCAGGGTATTCTCCCTGTAAAATTTTGAAATCTTAACTCTCRGAGATGTCATTTCCAGCGTTTAGAGGCCTTATCCAAGGCATATTTCTGACCGCTAAARCCGCACACATGGTCACAYGATATTCAATTAAATCCCAAAGACTTCGCAAAAAAGCTTCAATTTTAATCGTTTACGCTCAGTTTTTACACAATCTTCAAATAATAAAAAGTGAAATTTCACAAGGAGGCTCTTTGCTTCTTTTTTTTAAAAGAAAATTCAAAATGTGAAAAAATTATGGGGGGGGGGGGCTGTAGCCCCCAAGGCCCCCCTGCTCCACGTTCCCTATTTTAACATATGAAAGATCATAATTTTCTAATACAACAAAGACTTGACCACTCCACCAGGAAATCAATGCTATTCCCAATATTAAGTGGAATTGTTAGTATTGATGTTTGATGCTTGATGATTACGAAATTCATAAGCTTTTCAGCTTAAATAATGGCAAATGTTTGAAAACTTTCTTGTGTGCTGATCCCAACATAACACAATAAATTTGCATAATAGCAATAAATGTATTTTGATGCAAAGTCTAGAGAATGTTGAAAGGTCATTGATATGAATATGTACTGGTGGAAGACAAACAAGATTACATTTTCATTCATCTAGTTTTCGTAGTCTAGTAAAATATTTTTTTCACAAAACATAATTTTAATTTGGCCATAAGAATGTGTAGTTCCAGAAAATATCCATACCCCCACCACGGAGGAATTCGGAAATTCAGAGAGAGTGGGGGTTAAAGTGACTTGGAAATTCCGAGGGGGACRGGGGGTTAATCTGCAATCGATCTACAAAAAATCGATATGCGTTATTACYGTATTCTAACGTGCTGATCGCTCTTTAAGTAAGTTACTTGATGTGAATTTAATCAACAATGTCCTTCAAACGGACAGCTTCTACACAAAAAAATGAGTTTGCTTCTACACAAAAAAATGAGTTTTCTTTCCATTGAAGAAAGAAAATACAAATGACTACTGCGCTAAAATTCACGTACTTGTTTGCTAAACTAAAACTCAATACGTGTACTTGTATTTAAAAAGAAAGAAAGGTTGATGATAGAAAAAGGCAAACAAATCCTTTGTTTAATAATTATCGTATAAATATGACACTAAATCCATTTGTGAGTCAAAGCACGTGGTTGTTTTACACTCAAGTGACGGTTCAATAATCGTCAAATATTGATGACCACAAAGAAGCTCGAGCTTTAGGCAAAACACAAAAATTGAACATTTAAGATTTACTATGCTGAAAAAGCGTATTTAAATGYGTATCTTGTACTGAGGGAAATTCTGAGGGGGGTGGGGGTAATACCTGCCTTTTTATCCGAAATTCCGGAGGGGTGGGGGGCGGGGGAAGAGTTGTAAAAAATCGGTCGAAAATCGGAAATTCCGGGGGGGGCGGGGGGTCATAAATAAAATATCCTCTGTGGTGGGGGTATGGATATTTTCTGAAACTACACAATAGTGTATTGATTGATCACTAACAAGCAATGGTCTTTTATTGATTTTAGCCAGAGGAGACAGTCAAGTCTGCAGAACCAGTTATTACTACACCAACTCTTTTAGACAAGAAGAGGTAAGGAAGAACTTCCTTGAACTAATTGTACAAAAATGAAAGATTCACTCAATGGTGTCCATGGCTACTTGCAAGAATGTAAATGGAAAGATTGCAGGAATAGGAGATAAAAGAGTTATGTGTGTTAGAGCTGTCTGAATATAAGGTTCAACAGACTATATTTAAATTTTGTTTTCTGGACATATTGGAATTTTTTGTGAAAATGAAGATAAAATAACTTTCATGATTTTATCAGGAGGAAGCAGCTGTACTCAGGAGCGGATGCCCTGACATTGTTAACAACTCCCAAGATTATCAAGGTAAATTGTAGTGAATTTTCTTTTGCCAATTTTCCTATATAACAGTGACATCGATCAGTAGCACATAATCTTGATATTTTATCAAGTTAGAGTAAAATGATTGCTATCCCAACAGTTCAAGATTTTTTTTACACCTTTTTTTGATCTCCCAAAATCCACATGGTTTATTTCACSAGGAACTCTGCAAATGTGTTCTTTATTGCTTAAAATAAAAATCTCTGCCCTCCTTTCAATGTTGCAACAAAAGGTAACAACAGGCAACACTCACTGGGGGTCAGGGGGCAACACTCACTGGGGGTCAGGGGGTAACACTCACTGGGGGTCAGGGGGTAACACTCACTGGGGGTCATGGGGTATGGGAAGAATGTCCTCAATATTATTATTCATGTGTTCTTACTACAGTCTTGTTAAGTTTTGACCACAGTTCGTAGATTTATAGCCATTTGAGTGATTAAGTAAATTGAGGTGGTAAATAGAGGGCAAAGCCTCATCCTCAAGGATTTGATTTGATCACCAGCACTCTACTATCATCAATATTATTACTTTCCAGCGGCCATCAAAGCATGGTATTGCCAATGAGTCTATCACAGTTTCAACAACACCACAGTCTATTCTAAAGGTATGTTAGAATTAGGGTACTGTATTTACTGTATTATATTAGGCATTTTWTTTCAGATTAGTAATTTATCATGTTTTAAATGAAGGTCAGCCGTGTTGTACGGCATTCTGCATCTCCTCGTACTTCACCAACAGCATCACCACCATTATTAAGGAGAGGCCTTCCTGACAAASCAAAGCCAGAAAAAGGTATAATAGTTACTCTTATGATATTTCAATCTAAGCCTCGTAAATTGTGTAATTATCAATTTGATATTGTACAGCTAAAGACCACAATAAGGATTCAGTAGATTTTGGTCCTGGGCCAGCAACACCAAGTAGAAGAATAAGGTATGAATAGAAAAAAATCTGCAAGTGTAATGCATATCAAAAAATAGTTTATATATCAAGTTGCTAAATCTTTGTTTATTACTGGAAGACAATATGTAACTATTTGAACATCACAAAATCAATAATTAATAATCTATTGATACTGTTTTTATTTTGCAAGTATTCATAATGGCTTTATTAACTCTTTAGTTATGAAATGTGTGTTGTTATATTAAATACACTTCTACATGATCGATCGTATAAATYATGTTATACTGGGGTCAGTTGTATGAAGGTTTAATAATGGTATCCAGTTAATAAATCTTTACCCACCTACAGTACATGCAGGGGATACCATTTCTTCTGTTTTGAAAGAGCTTTTCATGTATCACTGATATGAATCAATTCCTTTTTTTTATGGCAATTACATCATATGCAATCTTTGTTATGTAGGTTTGCCACAGAAGATACCTTACCAACCAGGTATTTATATCATTTATTACAGTCTAGTTAATTACTAATTTATTCATTTGATTTGATTTTTTAATTATATTGTATGATCTTATTTTATTCTGTATCAATCATTTTTTTCATGTTTTTTTCATCTATTTACAGTGCAAAAACTCCTGCTGACACTACCTTTAAGGGAGTAGATATTACCTCAGATGTTCCCATGGAAACAACAGCTAGTGCTCCTGGAGACATTAAAGGTGTTTCATTCCTTGAAACTGATGACACGCAGGATAAAAAAGTGTCTGAAGACTCAATAAGACTTGGTAAGATATGATTATGTAAAACTAATAACAACACAGTCATATTTCTGTGAAACAATGAGGACATATATCATCAAACTCATAGAAATGTTTTGGAGCTGGATATGGTATATTTGACAACTTGGGACTCAAGATGGCGACTGTTTAATTTGTCAGCCTAAATCTAGCTAGTAGACACATTTCAATCATAAACTTTTTTCTTATAGTAGTGAAKTTGTCCTTCAGTAACTTCGTTTAGGCCATACGCTACTGTTTAGAAAACTTTTATTTTCTCAAGCTTTCCTCAGTCGCTGATATCATCAGGAGAGTGATGGGAATTTATATACTATACTATACTATATGCTATACAGCCTTTTGCAAAAATTATGAGAATTGTCTAAATATCTAAATATTATAATATCCATATCCATATATTGTCCAGAACACGCGGGTTTGCTAGAATAATTCATTGTTGACATCGAGAAAATGTTCAGAACTACGGATAAGTCCGTCACCGCCGAAAAAAAACTAAACTACAAAGACAAAGGACAAACGGGAATCGCGTGGGATTGCCCATCATGCAATTGATATTATGATATTTAGATATTTTGACAATTCTCATAATTTTTGCAAAAGGCTGTATACTTCTATAAACTATATGTAAATAAAAGTTTTCTAAACAGTAGTGTATGGCCTAAACTTAATACTTAATATATTCTATTTTCTTATAGAGTTATCAAGTTCCACAGAGGAGGAGAAGGATGGGGAGGAGGAAGGGGGAGAGGAGGGGAAAGCCGAGGTTCAGATAACAGCAGCAGTTGTTGACTTGAGGGGGAGTTGTGACCTTGAAGAGGAAGCGATTGGTCACGAAGAGGAAGACTACAGTAGTTATGAACTGGATGAGAGTGATAATGTCATAGGTACCAATACTTCTAAATTTGTCTTAATGCATCAGTTCATTAAACAGACAATATAATGCATGATAAATAAATAGCATAGATCAGRAGTTAATGAATCAATCAATGTGTGATTGAAAACATGTAAAATAAGTTGTTTTGGGGACCTTAATTAATGAGAAATTTTGGGTATGTTGGGGGATGATTGTCTACAATACCAGGGATCCAAGAAGTTCCCTTATCTTATCTTCATGCTATTTCAGAATAGAAAAACTACTCTATTCCAGGTGTTCCTAACCTTGATATTATAAGTGAAATATCATTGGCTGTTGATGTTTTTGTTACTTCAAAATCATAAAATTGTGATCAAGATATTTTAGAATTTCATTGGCAGTTTTGGAATATTATTCAAGGTGCTCACAATTGACTTTGATGAGTTGAATCTGTCACTTGATGGCTCTTATGTGTAATCTTGTGTGGAGCTGTATTGTTCTTTATGGAAATGCTTTAATACCTTTAGAAGCCAATGTAATTCAGCACTCATTCTGGGAGTAAGTGTGATTAACTACTTATTAAAATTAATTTGCCTAAACTTACAGGATTGAAACTTTATTTTTGATGTAGAAGTACATGTTACTTGTTTCAGCTGAAGACAGTGAGGAAGAGGTCATGAGTAGAAAGGATTCAATTCGTTCTTCAAGTATCAATGATCCTCCACCTACAGATAAGGTTTTACAGCTTGATAATGAAGGTCCTTTGATGAGGTAAGTACTATTAGTAATGATAGTCATTTATATGATAAGGATAGTGATGTACTAAAGGGTTATTAACCAAGTGCAAGGTCTGTATAGCAAAATATCAGACCGGAAATTAACCAGTCAGAGCGTGCATGCTATCTAAGTCATATCATAAAAATTAATACAGGACTGACTGTGACAGGTCCTTGACTATGTTAAGTATACTGACACCTCCAGGACTATACAATTAGAGTCTAGTGAAGGAATCATTTAGAGATATTTTTGCAGTGAGATTTGTGTTGTTTATTCTTATTAATATTGGTGTCCATAATTTCTGGTTGTCTSCATTGATAATTTGCAGGTCATCACCCCAAACTCTAGCTAGTACATCTTCAGAGGTAAGGATGAAATGCTGTTWAAAACATACCAACAATTTGGACTTGATGGGATGTCAATGTCAGTGCAAGTATAAGTTCTAATCAACCAGAATGCAATAAAGATGAATGAAAATGGTCCCATGTGGATTCATCTTCATTGTGTTCTGGTTCATTGATACTGACAAATTGTCTCTAAATAGCCGCTCTTTGTTAGTATTTGGTTTGATTTTATTTCATGGTTTTCCTGCGTTTGCTCAAGGTAATTTTAGGATAAGAACGTAACTTTACTTAGCTACCTAGTAAATGCCTTCTGCATTTTCTTTGTTATTCAGATATTTATTAGTAAAATATAAGTACATTGCAAAAGAAAGTGAGCAAATTGCAAATCATGTTTGTAGTTTTTATTATTTTTTGGATTGATGAATAATTATTATCAATCATCTCCAGGACCTCTCAAGTAAACACAAAACCCCATCACCTAAAAAGAAAACACCACAGACAATGTTGGAAATGAGAACAGATCTGACCATAACACCACCCACATCACCTCAAACTGGTTCCATCTTGACCCACTCCACAAAAACACAATCTCAAGAGACAAAAGAGGTTGAGGAATACRAATTTTCTCCACCAGCCATCCTACGCACACCAGGCCCATCTGAACACCCTTCAACAACCACTGCCACTGACAGCTTTCTTTTTTCTCCGCCCTTGACTCGTTCAATGATAAAAAGACGTTCTCTTGATGTGTCTAAGTCATCATCATCCAAAGTGTCAATCACTGGAAAGTCACTAAGGTGTGTAGCAGCAAGAGATGTATGCCACACTTAAACATTTTTTTTGCTTGTGAATTTTATGCTTGATAAGATTGCATACCTGAACTTAACAATGGAAATGGTGTGTAAAGTAGCAGAAAAAAGCAAACAAAAATATTGCAACAAGGGATATTTGGGGCACTTTATTCAACTTGAAATTCTTATTTGTTTCTTTGAATTACAAAAAATTGTGTTTGTGTTCTCATGATAATCTCTTAATGTTAATTTCTCTAAAACAGTAGCCAAAAATTTGGGTCTCAATCAAAATGTTATAMATGAAAACTACAGTGTGAGTTTCCAATAATTTTATTTCAAGCATTCCTTACAAAAAATCTGCTCAATGTCTTACTAATTTTAATGAAATCTGAAATCAAATGATTAATTCCTGTCTGAAAGGAAGAACAACAAAAGTGTAGCATACAATGAAGACTAAACCARCAAATGTACTATGTTTAGATGTTTTCTGGTTATTTATTTAATTAATTCTTTTTATTTCTGTTTCAGGCCAAGAAGTCAATCAGGAAGATACACTCCTCACCAGTCCCCAACTGACAGCCCTATATCATTTATCTCGCCAGCCCCCAGTCAGCCAAAATCTCCAAAGGGCTCTAGATCAAAGAATTCAAAGAAACCAGTACCAAAGCACAAAATGACCTTAAGATCTAGATTAACCTTAAGATCAGCAAAGCTACCACATAATTAAATGCAATGTACACTTGTTTGTTTGCATAACTTGAGTGACCATTTATTATCAAGTTTGATATTGGACTATTCTTGACTGTAGTGTTCTMAATGTTTTCAGACTTAATGTACTTCCTGTGTTGCAGCCATCATTAAAAAGGAAATGCAGAAACCTTCAAATCCAAGCAAACAACTACAACAACAAAACACAAACTTAAAATAAAATATTGAACTATTTATTTATTCTCATTGT